AGGAGGCCGCTGGGTGACATCGCGCGTCAGGCCATAGCTCGAGTGGATCCCGAAAGGGAAGCGGCGAGTGGGACGTCCAAGGGTGACATGGAGGAGATCGTGTGAAGAGGAGTTGAAACAGTATGGACTAACATGGATGCAGGATGAAAGTACAACAGAAAACAGAAACAAGTGGAGACGTGCAGTTGAAGCCCTATGTTCCACTAGGAACTCAAGGGAACAATAAATAATAAATAATAATAGGTAGACGAAAACAAAGTTTGGATATTTGCATAACGGGAAAATTGGTGATAATGATAAATAACAAGGTTGAGAATGACACTGAGTATCGAGACTTAGACGGCATCGTCTTGATCTACTAATCTTGTCAACATTTTTTGGTTAATTATCTTTTGAATAATCGAATTAGTTAGCTGGCAAACTCAGGAATTGTTTACAGTCGTCTTTAGATTTTGGCAACACGTGCCAAATTCATGCCATACCGGAAACTCCAGTCAGGTGTTTGTTTTTTTAACCTCCTCTATTCAGCTTGTTTCACTAGCTAGTAGAGTATTTCATTTGCAAATTTAATGAATAAATTGATCCTGTTTTAATCACAGCCTAATCCCTAGCTAAGGAATGAACAGCCGACTGGCAGTGTTTGTTTTTATTCTTCAAACTAGTTAACTACTTAACAAGTTAATTAGCTTAACAGATATGGGGTCAGTTAATTAGGTGAAAGAAGTAGATCATCTTTAGCAGCAGTAGTAGTTAGTAGGTGGTAAATCACAATTTTAATTTTTTTTCATTTACGTTTAAACTTGTTACACTGGCAGTAAGTTTCTTTCCTACAAATATCTAATTACTTGTGATTTTATCACTTTGTACTTTAAAATGAAAATCGAAATTTTGATTGAAAATGAATACAACCATGAGAGAGAGTCCATTCGGAAGTAATAACTGTAAATTGTTCTCTCTCTCTCTCTCTCTTCAACTCAAATTGAATTATATCCGACTTGATTATTCAGCCTAAAGGTAATAGCTTATTCATATATAAAACAGTTATGATCAGTTAACTATTAATATACCTATCAAAATAAAGCATTTATAATTCCCTACAGTATACCTGAACAAAGTCAATTTTCAAGGTCATGAAATAAATCAAACTTCAGTTTTCCTGAGCTATCATAATAAATGGATGAAACAGTAAGTATATACAAACTTTTAGAATTATTAATGAAATTGTTTACAAAGTAACAATAAGGATAACAATATCCATTTTCTAAGAGACTATAGAAATCATAGAATGATTTCTGATAACATCTGTTTCTTGAAAACAAATGAATTTCTTATCAATGTGAGCGAAAAAGATTTTATTAATATCAGGTATAAAAGTAAAGCTGTGACCTAGATAAACGGACAATCATGGCATACAATCGGAATGAAGTCTTTGAAGTTATTTAAAAATTACTGGCTATGAAATTCGCCAAACACGTTTATGATCTCCTAAAACTTCAGCAAATAATTCTCAACTGTTAAAACTTCAAGAATGATTCCGAATTGGTTCCTGAGACCTCCGACCCTCCGACGAAATCCGAAGTCCTGAATGCCATCAAGATGCTAAAAGCTGGGAAAGCGCCAGGACCAGATGGAATCCCAGCAGAAGCTTTGAAAATAGACCCAGAGACAACAGCGGACTTGATGACGCCACTACTAGAGAAGGTGTGGAAAGAGGGCAAAGTACCCGAGGATTGGAAGAACGGATACTTATTCAAACTGCCAAAGAAAGGAGATTTGAGTCAATGTAAAAACTGGCGTGGAATTATGCTTCTGTCCATTCCAAGCAAGATACTATGTCGCATCATCCTGGAGAGAATTAAACAAGCCCTAGATGAAAAACTTCGACCGGGACAGGCCGGATTCAGGAGGAACAAGTCATGCATTGACCAAATCGCCACCCTACGGATTATCATTGAACAAAGTTTGGAATGGCAGTCACCTCTCTATCTCAACTTCATCGATTTTGAGAAAGCCTTCGACAGCGTCGATCGAGAGGTGATTTGGAAACTACTTCGCTACTACGGGGTGCCGCCGACAATTATATATCTCATCCAACAGCTGTATGACAACGCTGCATGCCAAGTAATCCACAACGGGAGGCTCACGGAATCCTTCGAAGTGAGGACGGGAGTGAGACAAGGCTGTCTACTGTCACCAATGATCTTCCTGATTACAGTTGATTGGATAATGCGGCAGACAACGGCAACCAACGAGGGAACAGGCATAAAATGGACCGTCACAAAAGCCTTGGAGGATTTGGATTTCGCCGATGATATATGTCTGATTTCCCACAAACTGGAAGATATGCAAGTGAAAAGCAACAAATTGGCAGAAGAAGCAGCAAAGATAGGACTTCAAGTGAACATAGACAAAACAGAGGTAATGAAGATTCCTGGCCAACATCAACAGCAACAACCGACAACAATCAGCATAAATGGGAGGAACCTGAAGGAAACAACTTCTTTCACCTACCTGGGAAGCATCGTCTCAACTACAGGAGGAACTGACGAGGATATCAAAGCCAGAATCGGAAAAGCAAGACAAGTTTTCATTTCTCTCAAGTCTATGTGGAGGTCAACAGCATTCAGCGTCAAAAATAAGATCCGTATTTTCAACTCCAATGTGAAGTCAGTACTACTATACGGATCAGAGACTTGGCGTGTCATAAAGAGCAGCTCAAACAAGCTACAGACCTTCATTAACAAATGCCTTCGCTCAATACTCAAGATCAAATGGCCGGAGAGGATCAGCAACAAAGATCTCTGGGAGCGAACCAACCAGGAACCGATCGTGAAACAAATAGGCAGGAAGAAATGGAGATGGATTGGACACACTCTGAGGAAACCAGCAAGTGACATCACTAGACAAGCCATCTCTCGAGTGGAACCCGAAAGGGAAGCGACGAGTTGGTCGTCCAAGGGTGACCTGGAGGAGATCATGGGAAGAGGAATTGAAAGCGTGTGGGCAGACTTGGAGCCAGGTGAAAACTACAGCAGAGAACCGAACGCAATGGAGACGCATGGCTGAAGCCCTATGTTCCTCTAGGAATTAAAGGAAATAATAATAATCCTGAGACCTACTGAAATAGTCTTGGGGATTTACTGACTGCTGTTGATGTAATGCACGATGACTGAAAATGAGATGAATGCCACTCACATGCCACTCACACAGATTCATACCAGTGATATTTGGATTACTAATCAGACACACTACCAGCTGAGATAACAGACATAGCTTCTCTAATTTCCCGAGGTAAAGATTAAGGTAACATATACAACAAGTGTTCTAACTGTATTCTTGGATAAATTTCATTTTGAGGTCACTCATTTGTGTTTAGATTGCGTTATAGTCGGGAGGAAATCGTAATGTTGACTTAATCTCCCTTCCTATGAAAAGAATTAACCAGGCACAGTTTAAATGCATCAGATGAAGAACAACTGATAGAAACAACTTCAAAAGACTTCAGTCGACATTCGAAGAGCGTATAGAGTTAATTTACGGATAAGCTTATAAGTGACGGTTTCAAAAGCAGCATTATAAAAATGACCAAGTAGCAAAGTGTGGAATGCTTTTTTTCTCATATTCATGCCTAAATAGTTTCTTGATTTCTATTAGTACACAATAGAGACATATTTGATACAGAAATAAAAGTAACTTTTATGCAAACTGAATAGAGTTCAGCAAAACCAGTCACTGAATAATTTGAATTTCCTACCTAAAATCTTATGCTTAGATTCCGTTTATCGTTTAGCATTAAGGTTTGGTAATATCAGTTGTTGGGTTTTCGTTACGAACCAACATCAGTTAAAGAGATCATTGAACATCAGGGAGCACTAGACAACTATTTCGTCCTATTCTGAAGCTCTTCAACAGTGCACATCCAAGACATTACCAGTGATCGAACCCGGGATCTTCAGGTTACGAAATTGAGCTCGTTGACCATTCAGCCACTTGGTCTGGAATTTAATAACTACTATGTCAAGGCGGAGCGGATAGTCATGCAAGGCACTGGTGAGGGCAGCGCTTCATCACAGTGTCACAGGAGAAACTCTTTTTGGCGAATTCATTTTCCCCTTTAGCTGTACAATCACATTTATATGCAATTTTTTCATACTATACCAGGAAAAGAAAATAACTCAACTACTTCTGGTATGGTGGTAACAATCTTGTTAATTGCCACTTACTTGATTCTTGTTTTTTCTTCTAAATCCTTATAACTCTTAAGTAACTTCTCTTTTCTCTCTGTCTTTGTATGCATTCTGATCATAGCTCATTCACTAAGCTATTCATCGTATTGTGTAACTCCAGTAGATATTCAACTCCTCCCAGGCATTGACTAACGCTAACAACTATGATTGTGGCACCTCATCACTTCTGTTACTACTCTCTTTCATGAAAAACACACTGTGCCTAAATACGGTTGTATAGCTAAGGGGGAAAATGAATTAGCCAAAAAGAACCTCTTCACTGAACTACATGTTTTGTTTTCATCAATGTTAACTAATGATATTCATGAATAATTGCCATCCAGACAAAGTTGGAATCCACGAGGCGTTGAATTTCGGCCCAAGTGGCTGAATGTTCAACGAGCTCAATCTCGTAACCTGAAGATCCCGGGTTCGATCTCTGGTGAGGCCATGAGTGTGCACTGATTAGGAGTTCCAGAATAGGACGAAACAGTTGTCTAGTGCCCTCTGATTTTCAGTGATCTGTCTAACTGATGTTGATTTGTGACAAAAGTCTAACAATTGAAATTAATCCAAAATCCTCACAGATCCTATAATCTGTCATTTAAATCTTTATAAATGTTTTTTAAGTTGAATTATTAGAAATAATTGATGCAGAACCGCTTATATCACTGGCCAGTGGTGCAGACATAAGTATGTGTAGTGGGATTTGAAACTAAAGCTGCTATGGTAAAATTGATAAAATCTACTGAAAGTGAATTCCAGATAACTTACTCATTTTCATCCTTAGTTGTATATGGCGGTAAAGGTTTACCTTTAATCAATTTCACCTCCTTTTCAGTTAATTTTCTCAACGTTTCAGGTTGTATGTAAACTTCATCATTGCCTTTATTCCATTCATTTACATGATCATAGACTGATTTCAGAGCAAAGTCTAATTGGTCTAATGGCGCTTCTGGATTTTTAAAATCAACCTTTTACAATTTGATTTTTTTCTGTTAGTGAATATTATGAATTTATAAATTACATATTTTATTGTGGAAGACATAGTTTTATTGTGATAAAGTCTATCGTACCATGGTTCGTCAGGAGCCTAAACAACATTGAAAATGAAGATTATTTTTCGTCAGGATATGATTAGAAATGAAACAAGCATGTTAAATGTAGTATAGATGAATACGAAAGTTAAAGAAAATTAGCGAAGTTAAACAACATTTACATTTCTTGGTATGCATTTCTTAGCCTCCGACATAATATAAGTAGACAAATAACTTGAATACGTTGCATATTGATCAATTTAGCATTGATCGATAGTAAATTGCAGTGTAGACATTTGAAAGTGAATGTATATTCAGGAATAGGATATTACATACAATATATATATCTGCATGTATATGTAGTAGTTGTGACTTCCTGTAAATAACATAAGGGAGATATTTTTCCGTTTAGTTGTAACACAGACTGTTACCTATACTATCTCATCGAATCTTCGTTTGATTATTCTACCTCGTAGATCTCTGACTATTGTACTTTCATCATATGTCTTTTCTCAGCTTTTATTTTGCTCCTGCAAAATGTGACAGGAATAAATGCTGACCTACTCAGTCACTCAATACAGACTATTGTACACGTCAAAATAACATATAGGTAGAATTTTAACAGTGAGATGACATGTAATCCCGTATTAGTATTTTTATCAGATAAATCACACAGTGATGTAGTATTATATACTCAATGACAGTTTATTAAATATGATTTGATGTCACCATATTTTATTGTTGATGAGCAGTAGGAAAATTGATCATTAGCAGATCAAGTGTGAAAACACTCACGTAAACCAGAATAAGAATGTACAATAAAGTAGTACGTAGTTTGGATGAACAATACTTTGTGTAGTTGGATGAGACTATATTTGTATATTAGTATTTTTTCATTCCTTTACGTTCTGGACGGAACATAGGGCTTCAAGCTGGAGCTTTGAAGTTTCAATAGCAGTTGTGTTTATTTTTGCCGGGTGGGGTTGCCATCTTCATGCTTAGTCTTCTCTCTTTGCTGGGCTTATTACCAGCTAAGCGAGATAAAGGAGTGCGTCAGCCAAGGATCGAAACCCGGACCAAGTGCGTGGTTAGTGAGCATTCTTACACTAAGCCGCTAACGCCATATATTAGTCTCCACTCAGATAAAGTAATATCAGTAGAAATTAGGTAAAAGAATGCACTACTGTACTGAAGTCCTTTCAAACATTTTCTTGTGAGGAAACAGGAACTGAACTTCTGACATTAAGCAATCCCATGAGAAACTAAATTTCAAGAACCCACAAAATTTGACTAACATTTCACTTACCAAGATTGAAAACTATCTATTTCTTTCCTAAAATAAAGAATGAATTAATAACTGAGTTTCTTTTATAATTTTTCATTCTTTCGGATTCTCAGTAGAACACAGAGCCTCAGGCTTGAGTCCTTAAGTTTCATTAGTGGTGGTGTTGTTGTTTCTAATGAGGTTGCGATACATGATGTCCAACCGCTACTCTTTATCAGGCCTGCTACCGGCCAAGCGAGGTTTAGGAGTGCTTCGGTCAGGAATCGAACCCAGACTACTTGTGGGGTAAGCCAGAATGGATGACTGAGTTTATAATTCACTTTTATCGCCATTTTCCTCTTCAGGTTTGATGCTAACTGATCCTACTGCTGATCAGTTGTATGTTGCGTGTTCTTTGACTTTTCTCTGAGAATCGACTGGTTTTTTTATTCCTTCACGTTCCCAGAGGAACATAGGGCTCCAGGCTAGATGCTTGAAGCTTCTGTGGCAGTGTTTATTTTTACAGGATGGGGTTGCTAGCCTTATGCCCAACCTTTCTTCTTTACTAGCTTTTTTATTACCGGCTGGCGATCGAACCCTGGACCATGTGCATGGCCGGCGAACGTCCTAACTGCTATTCCATCAGCAATACAATCTTTTTCTTAGTTTATAGTGCACAGGTTTCCTTCACATTTTTAACAGAATGATATTTAAAAGGATCTTATTAACTAGAGTTTTCAACTACTTCCATCTTAATAATTTCACTTTTAATATTCACTCCCGCCTTCTTAAGCCTTCCACCATATTATGCATAAATTCACCATGGTTCAATCTTTTATTCTGTCTCCAGTCAATCTTTTTTCTAAGCGAAATTTGAACTCCTCCCTTTTATCTAATTATACTATAAACAGTTAGCCTCTTACCACTGATTAATTTGTTTACTTACATCATTTTGGAATTATGTTGTATATACTTTTTACCTCCAACTCAACTTCATTGTGGGAAAAGTATGTTCAGAAATTCTCTAAGTTATATTTTGATATTGTTTGGGATGTAAACAGTTGAAAATATGTTCATTTTTTTCTTTTTCAACACTAATCAAGGGGACCAAATGTATGAAATTCACCATATGTTGACTAGCACTTATGTAAATAAACATGTTCAATGACTTACAGCGATGTCAGGCGTTGAGGAACATGTTAGCTACAAGTATCAAGTTATATATATAAAGTCTGTTATTCTGAAATATTTGACTGAGCTAGCAAACCTTACAACAAAATATATTTGTATATACGTGTATACACTCGTATATAATAAGGTTAATTTGTAGACTGAAAAATGTTTTAGATTTCCGTTACACTAAGAACTTTATCTTAGAATACTTAAAATAGGGAGCAGCTGATTCCATGGTATAAAAAATCTTTCTCTGACTGAATGAAAAAGCCGGAACTTTAATGACCGCTTCTCTGAGCAATTGTATTATTATATTATCTGTAGAATAATGTGTCATCCCTATGTTACTGAATTACAGTCTCAGATGTTCACTTTCTCTGTGGCAATTGAGTAACAGTGAAAGAATCACCAATTTAAATATTGGTTTAAGTTGGTCAGTCAGTGTGGAAAGACTTAATATGGTGTTTTCTAGTTTTTAATGCTGACTTTCCTCTATTCACCAAGTGTGCAAAGAATTCACTTTTACAGTGCACTTTAAAGTGTTGCTGGACGTTTAGAGGTAAACATAATCAATGGAACGCGGTCACCAGTCACGAATGTACAACTTGAAGTTGATTGCTTTCCAATAATCATTCAGCGTATCGAGTGGATTGCTACAGGATATCAGTTGTAGTTGAAATTATTCAATGGTAATGTGCCTGACTCCAGCAACAGGTGATGACAGTTCGAATATGTGAGGCAAAAATATTACTGCTACGGTAGTAAATACAACTTAGAAACTAGCGCCCATGAGCACGAAACGTTATTCTTTCACTTTTTGCAAATATCGTAACCTATCTTATATCAGTAGTTTCGTCAGTTTATCTGAGAATTGTCTAAAAATTCCAAGGACACATAGGTTCCTCTTGATTACTGCAAAGAAATTATTACTATTCCCTTTGGTTCAGAGCGGAATATAATACTTCAACAACACATCTCCACTTTCTTCTATTTTCCTCCATCCTCTTCAGCTGGGCCCACGATTGACCATAATCTCTTATCTCCACCAACTTACAAGATCTCCTCCATGTCACCGTCGTGCCAACGACCCACCCGTCGTTTCCCATTCGGGCTCCATTCGAGAGATGGCGTGGCGCACGATAACATTCGACGGTCTCCTAAAAGTATGCTCAAGCCATCTCCATTGTCTCCTATATATTTGTGAAGCGATCGGCTATTTGTTAGTCGGTCGCCATACTTTCTTGTTGCTAACTCTTTCAACCATCCATTTGATATTCAGTATAGGGCTAGCGAAGATAGCTGTTGATAAGCGTCCGCAGCCACCTGTTAGAAATGCTTTTCGTGACACGCTTGCCAAGTTTCCGACCCATATAGAAGAACTGACTAACTTCACATGTTTGTTGAAAGTGCGAATCTTGTTCTTCACGCCGAGTGAGTGCATAAGATTTCCAAACTGATTTCAAGTCGATGAAGAAGGATCTTACCTTTCCGATTCTGGTTGGCTGGCTGGCTTTGACATCTTCACCCATTCCGACTTCCTGTGGTTGAAACTGTGCTTCGTGGTAGATATGTGAAGGAAATGACCTCTGTCAAATCTCTCTCCTTGATGGTGATTGGTGCTGGTTGTTGTTGGTTGGTTGGTGATCTGCAACACCTCCGTCTTCTCTATGTTCCCCTGGAGTCCTGTCTTTGCTGCCAGCCCCTACAGTTAGTTTCTAGATTTTGACCTGACAGTCTTTCAGCTTGTGTGACATTAAACGTAAATCATCTGGAAAATCCAGATCTTCTAGAGTATTCTTAGTGGGCCATCGAATTCCTGTCTTCTATCTCTCCACTCATAACCTGACGCATAATCCAGTCTACCACAATTAGGAATATCATCGGTGTTAATAGGCAGACAGCTTGTCTTACTCCTGTATGCACTTCGAGCGCATTGCTGAGTTTTCCATCGTGGATCATTTGACACGTGGCATTGCCATATAGCCAGCTGTTGAATGAGGTTGACAAAGACTTGAGGTACGCCATAGTGTTGAAGTAGTTTCCGAATTACATCTGGGTCAACGCTGCCGAAGGCCTCTCCGAAGTTTGACTGCCATTCTATGTTTTGTTGGATGACGATACGTAGAGGTGCAATTTGATCAGCACATGATTTGCCTTTCCTGAATCCCGCTTGTTCTTGTTGGTGAGGCGGGGTTCTGCATCCAGTCCATCTTCCATTCTCTGCAGGATGATGCAACTTAGCATTTTACTTGGCGTGGACAAGAGCATTATTCCACGCCAGTTCTTGCAGAGGCCTAGGTAACTCTTGTTTGGCAATTTGACGAGGTAGCCTTTCTTCTAGTCAGTAGGCATCTTCCCTTCCTTCCAAACCTTTTGTGATAATGGAGTGAGCACATCTTCTGGATCCGTTTTCAGGGCTTCGTGAGAAGGGGTAATTCCATCTGATCCTGCTGCCTTCCCGGACTTCAGTAGCTTGATCGCATTCAGAATTTCTGCTTTCGCTGGAGGACTGCTATCCACTAGCAGGCAGTTCTGTGAGTGCTGTTGGTGGTGGTATTTGTGGGCGAATTTCAG